GCATTTGACTGCATTAATGTTAGCCTACTACTAGCTAAACTGCATTATTACGGATTTGCTGACTCCACCATCAAATGGTTTGAAAGTTATCTGAAAAATCGGTCTCAGTGTGTTGAAATTTCTGATCTTAGTGGTTCTAAATTACAATCAAAAACACGTGACGTTACGCGCGGAGTACCACAAGGTTCAATTTTGGGCCCTATTCTCTTTATAATCTACAGCGCGGATGTCATAGATCAAATAAAATTCTGCAAGTATCATATTTACGCTGATGATATACAGATTTATATATCTTGTAAACCATGTGATACTCCTGAAGCCGTGGATAAGTTAAACGAGGATCTAGAACGTATAGCCTCCTGGTCAGATTCAAATTCATTAGTGCTAAATGGCTGTAAATCAAAATATATGGTGCTGGGTACAAAAAATCAAATAGCGAAAATTAATAGTCGTAACGTTACTTTGGCGATCAGGGGCGTGAACATTGAGCGAGTAACTGAGGCTCGGAATCTTGGACTCCTTATGGATGAAACACTTCACTTTGAGAATCATGTGTTAGGCATCGTCAAAAATTGTTTCTATAGGTTAAAGGTATTATATAACATCAGAAATTACCTTAATACCGACATTCGCATTAAGTTGTGTGACTCACTAGTTCTGTCAAAATTTAATTATATGGACGTGGTGTATGGGCCGCGACTGTTGAAGCGCACGGAACAAGTAATTCAGCGAGTGCAGAACGCCTGCGCAAGGTTTTGCTTTGATATACCACCACGCACGCACGTAACCCCTTACATAAACAACGCAAATATTTTGAAAATGAAAATGCGAAGAGATCTACACTTAGCTACAGTTCTGTTTGGGGTTATAAAATACAGAATCCCGTCTTATTTGGCTGACGAGTTGATATGGTCCCGGGATGTAAAGACAGCTTTCACCAGAGCGTCAGCTTGGTCGCTAGTCCTGCCGCGCTGTCGCACCGCCGCATTCCGTGGCAGTTTCAAATTCGCCGCAGCGAAAATATGGAATGTTTTGCTGCCGCCGCCACTCCGTAGTCTACAAACGGTGCACACGTTTAAAAGAAAATACAAACAATATCTGTTAGATATTCAAAAAAATACCGTATAAGTTAACGTGGGCACTCACCGTACTGTTTTCGACTTATGGCATTGGTGTGCGGCGGTCATCGTCATCAATGTTCTGCGTGCGGGATGGGGCAAGTGCTAATGGCATTTTTACGCTAATATTTTCGGTTGTCTATTTTGTTCCTGAAAAATTTTACTGATTATTACTATTTGACATATGACACAATTCTTATTTAATTTTTATATTTCATAATTAATATACAATTCATTATACAATTAAAATTATTTATGATAATCTGCAATCGGTAGAAGTTTTAAATATTGGTACATACCTTTTATGGCATAGGAGACTGCACGCTATTATGCGTGGTAAGTACCTACGATACAGGACGAAACCTGTTTGCTTACAACGGAGCTGGACGGAGTTGCCGCGCTTTGTGGCTCGTGAGCCGGGGACCCCTCTCGCGCGCCTACCCGCTCGTCTTGCGTCGCCCACGTGACACAAATCTCGCAATTGATATCTTTTATAACTAAATAAGTCCCATTTTTGTTTGTTGTAAATAATAGACATTACATTGCATATGCTTATCACTGCATATATGTATCAAATGAATTATTTAAGTATTTTATAAATATAAGAGAACACACCATACTACATTATAGAAATATATACGTAATTTATTTTAGTTTAAACGCGACACACACGTCCGGTACTCACTCGGTTTTAGGGTCCACTGAAAATCAGCGTCACAGCCTTGTCCCGGCGGTGACATTAGCTGAGTGGATCCTATTACATACGCCACAGCCGCACACATAACATCTACTTCGTACAGCAATAGTGTTGACCAGTTTTATGATCGAATAATTATTTATTGCCAAAATTTTATTTTTAATTAATTT